AGGAAGGGGGCCCCTAGAGTACTAAATCGCCGACGTGCATGAGCTGGACAAAAACACAACAGATGAGATGCGCTCTCATCGTCCTCCCCACAGCTACGACAGATTTGGTTGAAAGGAAGACCTAGTCTTCTAGCATGGTTCCCTAGCTTACAGTGCCCTGTAGTCAACCCTACCAGAAGACCAATATCCTTGCGGGACATCTCAATGAGAGTTTTCGATTTCCTTTTATCGGAAAGTGGCCAGATTGCATACAGATGTCTACATATCGTTGAGTCTTCCCATCTTTTATTAAAAGTATTAGCGCAGAAAGAACTCAATATCAGTTTACATGATGTTAGCGATATGCCCAGATAGTCTAGGTGCTCCGAGTATGGTTCTGAAGCACCCTTTCTGGCTAACTCGTCTGCTTTGCAATTTCCGAAAATATCCCTATGGCCGGGAACCCAGATTAGAGAAATATTGAGCTGCGTCGACATTTCGTTTAGAAATGTGTAGCAGTCAAGAACCGTCCTAGATGTAAATTGGACCGAACTCAAGGACTTTAATGCAGCTTGACTGTCTGATAGTATGTATATATTCCTGCCAAATATATCATCTACATTCAAACAAGCTATAGCTTCCCTGATGGCGACCACTTCCGCCTGAAAGACACTACAATGATCTGGAAGCCTAAAGAAGGAAGATTTGTTCAATTCCTCTGAGAAAACTCTACTACCTACACCACTACTTGTTTTGGATCCGTCAGTGAAGATGGTTACGCCCTCATCTAAGAAGGGGCCACCTGACGTCCATACCTCTCTAGATGGAAACACGACATCAAATTTCCTGTCAAAGTTGAGAGTGGGTGTGATGTAATCAACGTTTTTAGGAGTAAAATTGAAAAGATTTAGAATGGAGGCATGACCATAGTCACTGTCTCTCCATTGTGAGGTAGCTTTTAGTCTTAAAGCAGATGAAGCTGCCATTTGTTTACTAATAATATCCATTGGCAGTAACTGAAGCATCAAATCTAGTGCAATGGATGGTGTGGTGCATAGCGCCCCGCTAATACAGAGTTCAGCTCTACGCTGAATCCTGTTAATTACTGAGCAGTACGAAGATTTATCAAGAGCTGTCCACCATACCGAAATACCATACATCAATATGGGCCTAATAACAGCTATATATAGCCATTGGGTGATACGAGGTTGAAGACCCCACTTCTTACCAATAGCTTTCTGACATAGAAGAAGCGCAACATTGGCTTTTCTTGCACGCTCTAGAGTGTTTTTCTTCCAAGTGAGTTTCCTGTCGAAAACTATACCTAAAAATTTGGCTTCCTTCTTCACATGTATCACAGAACCCCGTAGAGAGGGTGGAGAAAGATTCGGGACCGTATGTTTTCTTGTGAAAACTACGATTTCAGTTTTATTGGGATTCACCCCAAGGCCACATTTTTGTGTCCAATTGTTTAGGATATTAAGACCATTTTGTAGAATATCCCTAAGAGTGGTAGTATATTTTCCGGTGACTGTTATCGCAATATCATCCGCATATGCAATAGTTTCGCATCCCTCCGCCTTCAGTTGTATTAGCAGTTCATTCACCACTATGTTCCAAAGGAGAGGGGAGAGTACTCCTCCTTGGGGGGTACCTCTATTTACCCTTCTGCATGCCGTTGATGAGCCCATCGTTGCTTCAATGAGTCTGCCAGTTAGAAGCTGATTTATAAAACCAATGAGCGCATCATCAACACCCAGACGCGAGATCGCGCTTACTATTGCACTCGGGAGTATATTGTTAAAGGCCCCTTCAATATCTACAAAAGCAACCATACAAAATTCTTTGAGTTCTATGGATTTTTCTATTCTGTAAGTGAGGGAGTGGAGAGCTGTCTCTGTAGATTTTCCCTTAGTGTAGGCATGCTGTGAGGGGGACCACTGGTTGGGGCTTACAGCACGCCTTACTTCTACGTCTATTATTCTTTCAAGAGCCTTCAACATGAAAGAGGAGAGGCTTATAGGACGGAGTTCATTGGGGTTATGATGCGAGGTTTTTCCTGCTTTGGGTATAAAAACTACTCTAACCTCCCTCCATTTAATCGGGACATAGTTAAATAAGAAACAATGTCTAAAGATTGCCAAAAGCCGGTTGTGTATTAACTCCCACGAATTCTGGAGCTCAATTGGATGAATACCATCCGGTCCTGGTGATTTGTAGGGTTTAAAACTAAAAATAGCCCATTTGACGATCTGCAGGTTAACCTTAATAGAGTTAACCGGTGAGAGATTAAGGCACTCTGAGGATGCAGCTACCGAAGTAGAAGATCCCGGAAAGTGAGTATCTAGTAGTAATTGTAAAGATTCGCTACTGTTATTGCACCATGTCCCGTCAGATTTTTTGAGTAACTCTGGGACAGATGGATTTTTGGATAAGATTTTACGCAGTCTAGAGGTTTCAGAATTGCTATTTATTTCTTAACAGTATGATTGCCAAGTGTCTCTCTTGGACCTACGTAAATTTTTCTTATATTCTTGCAGAGAGGTTTTGTAATTCAGCCAATCACTCTCATTATTATATAGTTTTGCTCTGTTGAAGAGTCTCCTACACTCCTTTCGTAAAAGACCTAGATGCTTATTCCACCAAGGTGGGTTACATTTCCTACTAGGTTGTGTGAGGGGACAAGCATAACTGAACGCTTCGTTGAGCACTGAGGTGAGATCTTGGACTTGATTGTCTAGATCAAAAGTGTTCCCAGGAGGATCGGAGGAAGTGGATAAAAGCAGCTCACTTAGAGCTGCATTATAATTCGTCCAGTTTGTGTTTTTAACATTTCTGAACGTTTTTTGATTGCAGATGTTCGATTCATCTAAGGTTAAGGTGAATTCTAGAATCATATGGTCTGAGAACGAGTGTTGAGTAGACACTTTCCAGTTCTTGACCGATTCGTGAAGCCTAGCAGTAGCAAGAGTGACATCTAACACTTCCTGCCTGTTTTTTGTAATAAAAGTTGGCATATTGCCATCATTGCAGATGAACAGATTGTTACTAAATACAAAATCAAAAAGTAACTCACCTCTTTCATTAGTATTTGAGCTGCCCCAAACCTCATGATGAGCGTTGGCATCGCAACCTATTAGAAGCTCTACCCCGAGTCTCCTGGCGCTGCTTGTTAGCTGTATCAGGACATTCGATGGTAGTGTGGCATGGTCATGTGCCAGATATGCAGATACTGCCCATATTTGGCCCCAGGAGCCCTCGATACTTACTGCGGTTTGGTCACCATCACTATATTGCGAAAGTAAGAGGGCATTAAATTTTTTATTAACCACTATGCAGGACCTAGGCTTACCCTTATTTACCGCATAAAATAGGTTGTAGTTATTAGCCCTGATTCCGCATACAAGATCCTTATAAATCCATGGTTCTTGTATCAGGACCATATCAGCCTCGTTGTTGCTGAGGCGTTGCAGTAGACTGGCGGATGCAGCCTTGCTATGATGCAGGTTAATTTGCTGTACCCGCATCTTCAGTATGTGTGGATCCATTTTTCTCCACCACAGTGACATCAAGAGCACTATCCTCCTCAGAGTCATTACTCATTAGGAGTTCCTCTTCATCGAAAAGATAGTGCATGCCTATGCTCTCCTCTGATGTAATTGAGTGAGCTGGCGAAGGAGCAGACACTGAAATGTCCATGCACACAGGTGAGTCTTCAGATGGAATAACCGGACTCACTTCGGTCATGGAAGCAGGCTTAATATTGCCCACTTTCGATAAGGGATCAGCAGTGTGTTGAGAAATTGCCGCTGATTCCCGTACAGCAGACGAGGATTGCTCCTCATCTTTTTTGTAGACCCTCATAGTTATGGGGAAAAAACCGTAATTTAATACGCCACCAGATCGCGCCAAAATGGCCAGAGAGGCTTTGTCGATCACAAAACTGACCGACCTAAACTTGCCTTTGGCTTCTTTCAGCTTAGTGACCTTCCACGTGGACGTATTTAGATCAGGGTTTCCCACCCGAATTAGCTCCAGAATCCGCTGAGGGTCGGATGGTTCGGCTGGAATCCAGGAACGCGCCCTAGGTCGGCCAGGAATTTGTTCCTTGGCAACGACTTTAAGCTTTGCGCCTGGCCAGACCTCACCCATTCTGGAGATGGCAATGCGAAAGAGATCAACAGAACGCTGATCAACGCAGGCGACTAGTTTCACATGGCCCTGAAACCATCCACCGTCGCGACATTTGGGAATTGTACCTGGAAATTCCTTAAGAACTTCGACGAACAAGTCAAGGAGCTTTCGCTCAATTTGATCCCATTTTTCAGGATTAATAGTGCCATCTGGATCATTTTCATCAATGACCGCCATTATGATGGAGCCCTTCAGCGTGTCGCTAAAGGACTTAGTAGTGGTGGCGTTGCCACGAAATTTTGCCTTTTTGGCATCTGGCTTCGAAGCTGACTCATCTAATGAGCGCTGGCGCTTCGGTACAGGTTCCTTTTTGACTTCCTTAGAAGTATCAAGGACCCGTTTGGCCCAGGCTAATCTAGCCTTAAGAGACTCGGACGTAACCGAGACATTGCCATATCTCTCGAGCAGCCTAGTCGCCGTTCGCCGTTCTTTATAAATTCTCCTGGATGGAGAGCCCGACCATGCGGAGGGGCCAGAACGCTTGGAGATTTCTGGTTTGTTAGGAGGTACCCTGTTATTACCGCTAGAAGTTGCGGTAGGTACCTTGGAACTAGTCGTTCCAGAAGAGCTTGGTTTAACCGAGCTTGATTTTTTTAAATTTTTATTATTTTGGTTCATATTTTAAAACCACGAGTTGCGGAGAAAGGAAAGTCGATCCGGGCAGAGATCCGCTATACCCGGACAAGGCTAAGTTACAACCGGA